AAGCTTCGCGATTTTTTTGTGTAAAAATAAACGTGACACGACAAACTTGAATCATTGAATTCCCATGTTATTCGCGGCAGTAAGATTCTTCTCCGTAAGCGTCTCTCTTTGCGCTGTAACGTAATGTAAAATATGACTGATCCTTGTAATCCGCCGATATATATCTTGATTGAGCCCATAATCATTTACACGGCGTATGCCAACCTGTTCGTTCATTGATATTATACTTAATCTACTTGATTTTCTAGAGTTTACTTATCAAAATAAATGATGGGAGCGAGGAATTGTTTGTGAATAATATATTGTTTTTCTGTGAAGAGAGAGATTTATAAATATTAACTTGAAATTATTGACAATTCTTTGGTTTATATATTTCTAACAAATTGTACAAAATTCTCAATTTGTATATATTTGTTGTATAACATCATCATATATGTGCATTTTTTAATTTTCCTTTGTAATAATTTTTTAATGTTATAACTTAATATTTCGGTTAGTGACATAACTTAATATTTTGAATGAGAAAAGTGTTTATCTAACGTAAACAAATAAATTTCTCAACCTCACGAATCGTACGGGTTTTATTGTGCAGATCTTCTTAATGAGGAGGAGCCCATTTTTCCCAATAGAATATCACAGAATTTAATAGAAATCAGAGAAGAAATATTTAATCTCCTTTTCAGAGTCACAATTTTAATCCATAGTATTACTCTCATTCACTCCTGTATTATTTTTTTATGTTTTTATGGAGCAATTCTGCAGATATAATATAATATGAAAAATCATATTAATCCGATAAATGATTACGTAAATAAATTATATATTGTCAATTTCTCGAAATTCAGATGTCGTATATATACATTATAAGCCGATCTCTTTGCCGTTCCGTAAATAAAAACAAATTCCGGGCGGGGGACTTATCTCGTCGGTTGGGAGACTTCTGGAAAAATTCATCGTCTTTGATTGGGAAGAGGCGCGAGCCGCGTGGGCGATCGGGTACGTCGTCCTTTGGACTACCACGGCTTATTGTTCTCGTCGATTCAGTGGAGCAAATAAGCCGTTATCGCAACAACCCTTTACAGAATCGTGCGCACAATAATCGATATTAGGGAGCATCGCGAGCGGTACGGTAGCTAACTGTTATTAAACTCGTGACCTATCCAAGGGTATAACAATGAAGATCCTATCACGAGATAATGACTGGATGGTGCAGAATTGCGACGTGTCTTCCCCTAAAGTGGCGGGTCCTTGACCTTTTCGGTTGGGCTGTGGCACCCCCCGGCCGTGTGGACATAGGAGGAATACATACATTTCTCTTTGTGAGACATGCGCGTTCTTCTTCTTCTTCTTGATACGGTGATAAGTAATAAAAATCGCACACGCACACGGGATCGTCGATCATCCCCGCGCACCCTTTAAAAACCATCCATCCCGACGTCTCATATCTCTAAAGGGGACATTTCGCACGCTACTAGGAATTTATATCCGATTAAGAATTACTAACATAAAATGTTTCATAATTAGAACGAAAATATAAAGACAATTTTTAACCAATTTTAAGTCTATAACAAGTGCTTATATTTTTATTTTTTTTTTTTTTTTGTAAATATGAAAGAAAGATTAACAACTGCTCTTCTATTAAGTGTATTTTGCATAAAATACTAAGCGTAATGTAATAAAAGTGATTGCATTGATAAAATGCGCAACTCGAAATAATAATGAAGTAATATTTAACGTTTATCTCCTTCCCCTTCTCAGGGGATGGTTTAGGCAATCAATCTGACAGGATCGTCCGGGCTGATCCAACTTGTCTTCTGTTTGATATCAGAACTAGAACCGAAAAACTCGATTAGATGTGACCACTCGGATTAGATGCGAATGCGCACCCTTTTTGGAGTGTCAGATTTGTACATTCATCGATCATTACCGGCATTAATGTCGCGAATATCAGGTTTAAATGTATTCAGTAGATTCTCCCCCTCGTGAAAAGAGTCGCCGCGATTCTAATCGCAGTCGTTACCTTGATTTACGAAGGGATTTCCTTCGACCTTTTCTCTCACGGGTTAAATGTGCGAATTTTCTCCTCCTCTTCCCCCTTTCTCTCCCCTCGCCTCTCAAACTTGCTCGCATCGCGGATAGGAATTTCGGAAGCAATTTATCATAAATTCAATAAAACGCAGACCGTCAGAAGGAGAAAAAGAAGAGAGAGAAGAAAAGAATTTGAGAAGACTTGATTTGACTTGACTCATCATTGCTTATGAAATTGCATAGAGCTCATTTCCAATTGAATGAACGATGAGCTATGGACAGAACGATGAACTTGCTTGCGAAATTTCTCCTTCGCTTTCTCTGTTTTCCTCTATCTTTCTCTTGCAACAATGATATGCTTTATTCATACGTACCTATGAATTTTTACAATAGCTTGCTTTCAACAAATTAAAAAATCTCTAGTGTCATGTTAGATTTAATTTAATTCAAATCAACATAATTTAAGTAAAAAAATCTTATTAATTATTTTTATTAATTTATTAATTATTAATTATTTATTATTAATTATTTTTTTTTGCTTAATTCTTTAAATTTTTGATTATAAATATTTTCCTTATAATGTACTTTAATATTAATCATAAAAATTATACATATTAAAAATTCGATGAAACTTTGAAATATTTAACATAATAGAGAATATTACATATTTCATGTGACAAAATGACTTGCTTTTTTATTTTTGATTTTTTATGATTTTTCTTTATTTTTGAAAAATATATGTGTAAAAAAAAACGAATTTCTGCAAAATACAACATATACACGTGAAAAAAAACAAATGTCCTTCAAGATAGCGCTATGTGAGTGGAAAATATCGATGATAACGATGATCAGTTTAATTTCGAAAACCGGTGCGAGAAAAATATATTTTTCTTCGATCGTGCTTCTAGTTTTACGAATAAACATGCGTATTTAAATTCACCGAAATTGCCCTCAGGTTGTAATCTTTGATGGAAACATCGCTTCTGTTTGCAGTGTAAATTGTTCTACCATACGTATGGTCAACTAATCCTAGATTCACGTGCGAGGTGTTTAATACGAAGAATGTGTTCAATGTAAACATGAGAATCAGACATTTGCTGAATACCTCGCAATAACATATCATTTGCAATTTCACACATGAGAGTACTCCTCGCGATTTGTTAATTTTAACATTTAATTTTATAAATTTGCTTTTTTAAATAACGCTTGATCGGAGGTAACTAGCGAGTTAATGAATAAGAAAGAGGATCAATCGGATCAGTATTTAATTGAATTTGTAAAAGTCAGTCTGAAACTCTTATATCCTAGATCCACTTTAAATACAAATTCATTCAAAGCAATTCTAATCGTTCATCCAATCATCTTCCCATTGTTCGATATAAAAAAATCTTGATAAAAGATGAAATCTTGCGAATAACTTTCATTTTATTTCTCTTAAATATTTTCTTTTCATATATATATATATATATACTTAAAATATATATACAGTTTATTATTTATTTTATAGTCTTTTCTATATTCTGGTCATGGCTCTTAAATCTCCGCCTTATTCATCTGATTTCGATTTTTTGTTTTTTTTTTTTTTTTTTTTCGTTTTACTGTGTAGTAATACTGTATAGTAGTAACTAAGTTCGTTTAAGTTAAGAAAAACAAAACTATTACGACGAATAATTAGGTACGAAAATAAAAAGTTAACGTACACCGGTCCGTATTTCGTTTCCGTTACCCGTAAGTTAAGGTTACGTTAACTTACAACGAAAAACCTAAAACCGTTTTACCGGTTACCGGAAACCTAACCGTCGTTCCGTTCCTACCTACTACTACTACGGTAAATTTTACCTTACTTTTTACCCTTTTTTTTTTTTTCCCCCGTTTTTTTTTTTTTTTTTTTTTTTTTTTTTTTTTCGACTGTAGTGAAAATCTGATAGTGAAACTGTCTTAAGTGAAAAACAATATCGACGAATATTGGCAAAATAAAGTTCATCCGGCATTGTTCCTCGAATGTACTATCAGAAACCAATTTTCCGGCGAAACCTGCTTCGTCACTCATCAGAATTTCATCTTTCCTTTTTTTTTTTTGTTTAGTCGGCTCTGAAAGCGTGGGGTGCTAAGCCGAGGAATGGAGGGAACGTGGCAGTGGGAGCAGCGAAAGCACTGCCATATCATTCTGCTCAACTCTTCGTCGTATTTAAAGGAGAACCCGGAACAGGTTGCAGGTGAGCTCCTTTAAATCAGCATTTTTTTTTTTTGCTCGGTCCGCGATTCTCATCAGGGAGATAGCTTCGTCTCGCTACGTCGATCGAAGAAAAAGAGGAAATCTTAAAAAAACGAGTCGTCTCTCTCTCGCTTAGTCGCCAGAAACGATTATACCATTTCCGTCGTGCGTCTGAATTTCAAGCCAGCCAGGAAAGCTAGAAAGGACTCACTTCTTGAAGGAGCCTCCGTTTCAAAGGAGGAGGGAAAAAGTGTTCAGTGAAATCGATTTCAATCCTCGCGGTTTCGTTCTTAAGTGACCCACATTTTTAAAAATAACGCGAAATATCGCCGCGGAGCGGATTCGTAAAATTTCGCCCGTATCATTGGCTCTCTTTCGGCTGCCATAAAATCGATTCGATGCTCCAATTACCCGCGCGCACATCTCTCGGCACCTCACATTCTTATTTTATCGGAAATTTATTGTCGAACTGACTTATTAATAAATCGCCGTCGGAGTGACAACGGTTTTTACACGTATCCCGTATGCCGTATTTAGCACATCGAACATCGGATAAGTAAGTAGACCCGACAATTTCAGATGAACGAAAACGACTGCACGATCGCTGCGGCAAGGAAGCGGATATCCTGAAGACAAGGGGTCGCGTGCCAAGTCTGTAGCGTTCGGTAAGGAAGAGGAAGGACCCCCTCCCCCCACCCCCACCCCGTCGAGTAATATCACCCCTTGGAAGGAGAGGAGAGAAGGAGGAAGGGGGTCGTCATGGGCCCGGCAACCCAAATCGTATCCTATTGAGCGATGCAAGTGATTAGGGCCGGGGCCCTGCTAGTGAGCATGTGGCTCACTAGAGAATGAAGAAGCAAAACGTCCGGACTTTATCATTAATCGTCTTCACGCTTACCTATCTCCTCGTCGGTGCTGCAATCTTCGACGTGCTCGAGTCCGAGACGGAGAAATCACGCAAAGAAGCGTTAGATGGTAAGTAATCGTTGCCGTTTTATGCTCCATTGAAATCGCTTCGCGATATCACAATGCGTGTCACTTTTAACATGGACATTCGCGGCAAATGACCTGGATTATAGATAATAATAATAATAATAATAATAATGTTGCAGAGTTAAATTTATCGAGTTCTAATCGCGTTATTTGTTATAAAAAAAAAAATAATAAATAAAGAATAACACGGTAACACGGTTAATTTAAAACTGTACTGTGGAAAAAGATTCCTATCGAAAAAGGTATTTTGTATGAAAATACGCGCGGCTTTATGTTGGTTGTTTTAACTTTCTTTCACTCTCTGTTTTTTCACTGGTATACGTGTATACGTGATATGTAACAGTTTTCTTCGTTTCTCTTTTAATCTGTCCTCGGCAGAACTTTGCTGAATGAATAAAGTCCTAGGAAGACAAGAAAAGTCCAAGAGAGACGTCTGAAAACTTGGAAAAATCATCGGGTGGATCGAGGCGTCTCTCTCTCTCTCTCTCTCTCTCTCTCTCTCTCTCTCTTACCAGAGTTTCTAGACTAGATTTATGTCATCTCAAGTCTCCCCGCGTCTTTTTATTGCTATTCGCGTAAATTACTTACTCATATACTCAACACGATCGCTCTGTTGTGTGCGAGTGAGAGGCATTAGGGTGTAATCGTGTATGCGGCGACAGCGCTATTTGTGCGAGACGGTGTACGTTATGCAGAGTGACACCCTCCCCCCTGGTGGAAGAATGTCATTGCACTTTCGACGAAGGGGAACGATCTTCTTACAACGTGGCGACTATTGTCTCGCAGAGACTGGCTCGCGAAAACGGCTTTGATAAATACCGTCTCCCGCGAGCCTTATAAATCCCGGTGTGACAGTAGCTGCGTAGTGAAGTAGCGATGTTCCTTTTTTTTTTTTTTTTTTTTTTTTTTTTTTCCAAAGACGAGCTTCAGCTTTTGTTCGTTGAGAAGAACAGTTCTGCGCGTACCCGACATATAATTTTCATTGAAGATATCGTCGTCTCGATGTACGAGATATCCGTCTCGACAAACGTGAAAGCACATTCTGAAAAGTTCAGAGGTCATTAGTCGTTTTATTAACTCTGTTATATATTCGCATGTGTCTCTCTGTCTCTCTCTCTCTCTCTCTCTCGCTCTCATCAATATCGACATATAAATATAACAATAATAAATAATTGTTGGCTGTTACTCTTATTGTTCTCGATGCCTCTAATCTGAGGAGACGTCGGTCTAATCAGCACACCTGTTCTGTTCGCAGCCATTGAGAAGATGGTCATACGAAAATATAACATAAGCGAGGACGACTTCAAGATCATGGAAACAGTGGTGCTGAAGACGGAACCTCACAAAGCTGGCCAACAGTGGAAGTTCGCCGGCGCGTTTTATTACGCCACAACGGTCCTCACCACGATAGGTATTATACGTCGCAAAATTATCGTTGCCCTGAATACCGTCGGATGTTCAAACAGAGTTTATTACAGTACAACTACCGTCGCGTTATTATCCATTTGCATCGAGAATAACTACCGGCTAACTCGTTTGGCGGGTACCCAAATGCGAAATAGTTTGAAAAGAGCAAATTAATTACGAATTCGGGTCCCTTCCGATTTCTGTAAATGTCTTCCGTTTAAACAATCCTTTTCCTTTTTCGAAAATAAAAGAAACAAAAAATTTTCGAAAAATTCAAAAATTATATACTTCATTCTGAGTATCCATTTACATCGACAATAACTATAGAGAATAACTCGATTCGTGGCGAGTACCCAAATACGGCAGTTCGAAAAGAGCAAACTAATTGGCAACTCTCGCGAGTCTCTTCCGATTTTTGTAAGTGTCGAACAAGTGTCCCTTTTCGCAAAATAAAAAAAAAAAAAAAAAAAAAAAAAAACAAAAACTTTTGAAAAATTCAGATTTTTTTTTGGACGACGTGAATTGTTCTGGTCGGCATATCGGTTTTTCTGTTTATTGTAAGAGATAATCTCCAATTCTACGAGCTTTTGGATAAATGGGCGTGATTTTGAAATCGAAAGTGATTGTTGAAGCAACGCACGAACGGATCGTTAGAGATGTACTCGCCAATCGGAGAGCGTTTTAATCGATTCAGTTGTTTTCATCGTAACGGAAATACGCATGTTCGCATTATTATACGCAATATCTCGCGGTTTTTGCGCGAAATGATGTAACCAAACGATCGCGACAATTGTCATTTCTCGTCGATTGTGCGCGAAGGGTTCGTAGAAGCCGTCCGTTAAAGTCGTCCTCTATTTATATTTCAGGTTACGGACACTCGACGCCGAACACTATCTACGGCAAACTGTTCACAATGTGCTACGCGATCATCGGTATTCCATTAGGACTTGTAATGTTCCAGAGTATAGGAGAACGCTTAAATAAATTCTCGTCTGTTGTGATACGAAGCGTAAAACAACTTCTAAACTGTAAGGACGTCCAGGTAATAACAAGCTTAACCGATCCACAGGCGATTACGTCTTATCCATGAGGCGAATATACGAGCCGCACGATGAAAATCAATGGAAATTATTTCCGCACAATCCGGATATTATAAAACTTAATTAATGAACTTAAATATGCCGAAATATATTCCGAATTGCATTTCTGCTCAAAATAGCAAGCCGGAACTGTAATAATCCAAAGCCAAGCAATCGAATTGCAGGAATTCGTATCGTTTAATCAATTTTAAGCAGACTCGAACGAAATAAATTAAACTATTTTTAATTAATATAAAAATAGTATATCATAAAATAATAACTGAACTCATAATTAATGTGATATTACGAATTAAACAATCTAAACTATCACAAAATTAATCTATGAAGGATTTATATATATTTCCTCCATTTCAAATTGTATAAAATTAAATGATATACTATTTTTATATTAAAAATAGTTCCTAAATATTCTTAAAATATATATAAAACTTGTGTGTTACAATTCAATGTGATCAAATTTATATTTATTTCGTTCGAGTCTGCTTAAAATTGATTAAACGATACGAATTCCTGCAATTAGATTTCCCCAAAAGTGAGTAGATTCTTCTCTCGAGTTCCGAGAATAAAATTAGTCGAATCGTCCTTGTTCTTTACAAGTTCTTAGCCATTTGTTATGATACGATATACGTAGCAATTTTGGCCTATATAAGTTAACACACCACGTTTTGCAGGCCTCGGAGATAAACCTCATCTGCGTGGTAACGACGTTGTCGTGTCTGACTATCGCCGGCGGCGCCGCCGCATTCTCCAGGTACGAAGGGTGGTCCTACTTCGACTCCATTTACTATTGCTTCATCACCTTGACGACAATCGGTTTCGGCGACATGGTTGCGCTGCAGAAGGACAACGCGCTCAATAAGAAACCCGAGTACGTGATGTTCGCCCTAATATTTATTCTCTTCGGCTTGGCGATCGTGGCGGCCTCGCTTAATCTGCTGGTTTTGAGATTCGTGACGATGAACACGGAGGATGAAAGACGAGACGAAGCCGAAGCATTACAGGTACGAGTCACCTTTATTCATATTATCTCTAAGATATATTTTGCTTGTTATTTTATCAAATGTTTGGTATCAAGTAAAACCATTTAATTTCCCCTTTTCGTGGAATTTTTATAGTACTTTTATACTATATAAGCACCGAATAAATATCCACGGATTAAAATAGCGTTATTAGCACTCAACTCATCTATTGGTCTGAAAGACCGATGTAGGTTTATTATTTAATACACAGAATTTAGAAAAATATAAAGTTTACGATATAGAATATTTTCATCATCATATAAAAATAGCGCGCGGTACACAGCGAAGATTTTTCAAATCTGTGTGTGTGTGTAGCGAACATGTTAAATGATCTTTCCATTATCATTGCATCGTCGTGAGAATACTAATAAAGGCATCCTCGCGTCCCTTCCTTAGGCGGCCCAGGGCGCGGTGCGTCTCGAAGGCGACGTAATAACGGCGAACGGCTCGATACTCTCCGGCCAGCTCGGCAATCACGGGAACGTGTTGTCGTTGGACGACGAGGCGTCGGTGTGCAGCTGCCGCTGCAGCGGCTTTCAGAGGAAGCGGCGGAGACCGCGTTTCACGGTGCGCCGCTCGCCCGGCAAGATCTCGCACTTGCTGCCAATGCAACAGCTGTCGATGTCGAGCGTGAGGGGTGGCGAGCCGCGACCGCCGCAGCTCGCCCCACTGCTGCCGCTGCCGCCGCTATATCAGCACCGCGCCAGCATCTGACGTTGCTCGGCCGCGAGGAGCGTGATCCTCCTTGAGCAGCAACAACAACATCACTACCACGAACAGCCACGGCGGGAGTCCGTCTGAGGAGCGTGTGCCTCTGCCCGGCAGCCGCCGACTTCAACGAATTTCAATCGTCGTCGAGACGCTATCATCACCGCCACGAGTTCTCCTCTTCCACTCGCTCCGTTTTTCTCTTTTTCTTCCTCTCCTTTTCTCTTTCTCTCCTTCTCTCTCCTTCTCACTCCTTTCTCTCTCTCCCCATTTCGCGTTTCGCTCTCGTCGAGCGAGAGTAAAATTTCGTACAGATAGCCGAGAGATCAGGATCGGTTGAAAATTCGCCTGGTATCTGGGATTCGCCGGAACTGTTCAATCCGGACTTGTGACACCGGGGTAACGTGACGGCGCCGGATGCTTCTCCTCAACGAAAACGTATTGTCATGCGCGACGTGTACAACTCTTCCATTTGCGATACTCTGCTTTCGTCCGAGTCCAATTCAACACGGTTCGCGTAACCGTGAATATTAGAATACTCGATGTGCGGATGAATGAATTTCTTGATGCGTCTGCGCCTACCATCGAGTGAAGAAGAATGAGAATTCGACGAGCGAAAAAACGAAACGTGGATCTGGCGCGGTCTGAAGAAGTAGAGACGAGATGTTTCCCATTCTGGCGCTCTTGATAAATGGCTGTGTCGTTCGCCGGCATCATTAAGTGCGACGTGCGATGAGATTCTATACGTGTGATAAGTTCGTAGTGACGTAAGTTATTTTTAGTCCGTAGCTAAGTTACCTTTTGACTCTTCGTGGCCGAAATTATTATTATATTTTCCTGAAGAAGAATATATTACATGTGTAAGGATATATTCGCTGGAATAACGTACCTATCATAAAAAATTAGTACAGACTTTTTACATTCCTCTCCTTTTACATTCTCGATTTTCTTCGTCAATTCGAGATTGATCTTTTCGTAAATAAAAATTCAATCGCATTCCGAAGCGAAGCTTTATCGTGAATTCCAAATATATACATGTTCACAGCTCGTATTTTAGAAATCAGCTTGAAACGCCAAGCAATATAATTCTTGCGCTCGCTTCCTGATATTCTCATACTTAGTCGCCTCCTTAGAATATATAATAAGACGAGAAATGTGGAATCACGTCGCAGGTGCGATTAGGCGGTGAACCGACCTTGAAAAAAGAGATGCATGTACAAAAGATTCCGCGAAGGTGATTATGTGTCTTGCAGCCGAAAGGTAGTATGAGGAAAGTATGAGGAAGCACGAAAAGAAACGTGCGTGTGGAAAGGACAAAAGGGAGCGAATGTGCGAGGGGCACGAATGTCGATGAGCGAAATCGCGAGCGAGTGCGTGTGAGCGTGCGTGGGAACGCGTCTGTGGGTGAAAATGTAAGAACGCGTAAAAAAAAAAAAAAAGAAAAGATAAAGAAATGCGGATGCTAGGTATATATCTTACGTTCACATTCTTGTGGGAGAGAGAGAAAATTAATTAAAGAAATATAAATACACACCAAAGGAAGAAATATACACAAATCGACATGACTTTTTCATTAAGAAGACATTTTACAATTTGTATATAATATAAAGTATGGTAAAGAAAGAAAAACTACAACTACTTTAGGTATACGATACAGGAGGCGTTTCCGGTCTTACGGAGAGATATATAATATGTATAATACATACTTGTAAGATACATCACAATTATTATCAAGCGAGTTCGCGAGTACGTGATATAAATATATATATGTATATTATATCCTCAAAAAAATTTCGATTTTCCATCTATTATTATAATAAGTGCAGATCGAAGATTGTCGAGGTGGCCACGGCCACATAGATTTGTAGAGTTCAGTAGGTGCCGTAGGTTTCCTGAAACACACGAACGGGCGCACGACGCGATTGCGGAGAGATAAGTATGCGCGCGGAGAGGAGAAAAAAAAAAACGGAAGAAAAAAACTGAGACGCGAATTCACTCCCCCCTCCGATTGTTTACAGTCTACCTACGAAAAGTCAATCCATCGAAACACGAGACGAAGTATTCCCGGTAGATGCGTTATCATACTATAGGATGAACACGAGCGGAACAATTCTCTTGCCTTTTATCGAGAAGTAGGATCTACTCGGATATTTTTAAGACGTATACTGGATTGCATGTGTGCGAGTAGCATACATAGACGACATTTCTTTATCCAATCGACATGGTCTACACAGGAAAACGCCGACCGGTACGGCGGTTCTCTCGTGGGAGTGTCTTGTTATTCAAATCATACGTGTTCATGGCTTTCCATTACGGTTACACACAATCAGGATTTTCCAAAAATCAAGTACTTTTGGATTCTCAAGTCGCAGACTATTAACGTTCAATCATCGTGACGTCAAGCGTAATTTATATCGTAATATTTATATTGTACGCGTATGATCATCTCAGACTTATGAGAGGCTGCGGCGCATGATCTTGTATGAATATCCGTAGCTTCATTCGATTTCTATAAATAATGTACGTATGCGCGTATTAAATGCTTATTTTTTGAAACTTAAAGTCACTTTCTTTTCTTGAGAGCAAGCGTGATTATGACGAAACAGCCGTACTTGTCGACCGTTTATCAGTTTACGCCATTTCACTTATGAAATACCTTACTCTACGAGAAGAAAAAAAAAAAAGAGGATGACAAGAACTGCTAGAACTTACATTCCCGTTCATTACCATTAATTACGGCGAATTAAATCTGTAATATATTATTAGGTAGTAACAAAAAAAGTAACACGATCGCGATTAAAACGTGAAAGATTTTTATGAGATAAGGAGGGTAACAGAGAGGAAGACAAACTTAACGAAGATAAATTAAGTGAACGCATAATTAGCCATGCATCTTGTATTAATCGATAATCGATGTAACTTTTATTTCATTCGCATCGTACTTGACGCATCATTTCAACTCGTTTGAGCTAAATAACAGTAACGATCACAAGCCTCTTCGGAACAACACGTAGGTATTTTACTTCGGAACGATCGACGTTATCCATTTGTTCTTAAACTCCGTAGTTCATTATATCGAATTTTGCTAGAGTCTTCACGTAATGTAATAAAATTTTGAATAATCGAATATACAATTTTTTTAATTCTCAGGTGAACGGTTATAGCGTCTTAAGATAATACAAGAATTATATATACACTTTCATATAATATTTTATATTTATTGTAACATTCGATAAAAAGAAGTAATTGAGCTTATAATATCGAGGCTATAGAGAATTAGCTGGGAAAAGTGAGCAGTTTCTCGTTTGCTTTCGATCTCGAATTATTAAGTAGGCGAAAATAAAACTGTCATCGCCAGGATGGCAGGACATAATCTAATTTAAGGATAAAAAAAAAAACAACGCATGATTTCATTTGTAATATTCCATAATCACGTGATTGATCTAGATATCTATCTCTTGATAATTCATGAAATTACTGTTCTCGAGATGTGCTTGAAAGTTTAATGTATAAATGAATGAAATATGATTTCGCCGCTAAAAATATTTCCTATATGATGGCTAAACGTCCATCTAAACGTTTCGCGAGAACGGCAAACGTTAAATGGAATGTGTTCACACCGATTTAGCTAAAATGCAGAATGAAATGATGTATTGTTTAACGTGAATGCAAACGTTCAAAAAGAGACTAGAGAGATCCAAATAATGTCACTGTAATTATACCGCAGTGCCATAATTTCCTGACGTACGTTTAAATTGCCATTACTTGTATTATTTTGAATAAAAAAAAAAAAAAGAAAGAAGAAGTATAAAAATGATAATAAAATACATTTAAACATTACCTGATTTTGTTTTAAGTCGAAAAATTTCTTTACGATATATCTCTCTTAAACGCCGACGAACAATTAATACTAATATAGAGTAACATGGCGAATAGTTCACGAACTTGTAGGATAGTGCATCTACATGCATCTTCCCTATTTTTGTGAAGAGATTAGTTTTGATTGATGCATCGTACTAAGTATAAGAATGAAGCCAGAGTAT